GTGTGGCAAATTTCAGAATTTTATCTCAAAAACTGAATTTTTGACAGCATTTTGAATTTTGCTCTAATGTGAACAATTGGAGTCAATGTAAAAATGGCAATTTTAAACATCAGTTTTTCACTTATGGAGCAAATCAATCATTGTTACAAACAAATTACCAACATCTCCATGCTGTCTAGATGCAATATGTGTATTTTCAGATGTTTGTCTTAATAACTGAATTTTTTACAGTGGTTTCAAATCTGCCTTTCTATGCACGGATGGCTGCTTTCCTACACAACAGTGAATGGCTTACTCAATTTGTGAAGCCACTGTTGAGTTGCTACTTGCAAATTAGTTCAGAGTGGTAGATGACCGTCTAAATTTCCAGCGGTTGCAGATTCAAGCCTCACCTGGTGCAGAATCCACATTGTAATGTAAACATCTTCTTGGATGCGGTATTCACCAAATTCACCAAACTAAAAGTGTTCACCATAGTAAAACTTTAAATTCTGGTGCACCATCGATTTGGGGTGATGAGGGGTGTAAGAAAATCGATTAACTTAATGGCTTGGGGCTTTTCTTGTAAATTATATTCTTTAAATTAAAAGTTTCACCGCATTTTTATTAGCTTGGTGCTTTTATTTTTACGGAAAGACACATTCATCGAATTCCGGATCCTGTCTCACTCGCCCTGGTTCCATTTCCTTACCAAAACGGCCACTAACGGCCCCAGACCATATATGTCTATGCCCCAGACTATGTTTTTACACAACTTATTCAGTATGACACGCCCCTTCAAAAAAAAACACCAATCAGAGCTCACGCTGAACCTCCTATAAATTGTCCTGCCGAGCTCTTCTCCCCCTTGACGTTACTGAACGTTGAGACTGTCGGGAGTGAAGCAGGAAGTGAAGCCCAGCATACGGGGAACTGCTGAATTCTAAACTCGTCTAAATTGTTTTTTCTTCTTCGGACCCATGGGCGTTTATGGATAACAACAAGTGGCTTTCAAGTTTAACCGGTGAACATCCACCAAAGTAAAAATATGAACGCTAGAGAACGTTTGCAGCGGTTTTTAGGGAGCTTTGGGAGTGCTGAGAAACGGATTTAATAAGGTGAAATGCGAATAACTTGATCGGTAAGTAATGTTTACCGTTAGAGAGCACTTCGACATTTGTATTGTTATTTTTAAAGTGTTTTTTGTCTCCTAAGTTTTATTAACGGTGACGAACGGTAAGTTGCACTATGAAGGCATTTACTGTGTTATGTATGTGGCGCAGTTTAAGTTTCATTTACTAAAAAGTGTTTGGCGGTAACGTTACTTGGCATATTTCAGAATACGTTAACGTTACCTTTATTTATTTATTTATTTATTTATTTTTAA